TTCCATATATTCATACATCTTCAGTGACATTCACACAAGGTGTAGCCATTTACCAAAGTACTAACTGAATGAGGTTCAATATCTTGTCTGAAGTTCTATTGCTAATTTTAAATGCACCTATTCTCTAATTAATCCCATTTCAGAACCTGAAAGAGCTGCCATGACAATATGGACCTTTAACATGGATCAAGGATTATTGGAAAAAATAGTTCTTATTTTTTAGAAAAACAAGATAATCAGCAACTAATACTGAAACATTGTTATAACATGCTTTATACATACCAACCCTGTCAAAAATTGTAAGTAATGTAGTGGTAAATATGAAAAACTGATAGGTTAAAATTGGTTCATTTCACTTCTTTAATAAGTGAAACTTTGTTTTCAATTATATGTCTTATGATAGTATTTTCCTAGGAACACAAACAATTATGAGTAATAAAAAAACTGGGATAAAGACAATGAAGCCAATTCTGTTTTTAAGGGTTGAAAGTAATCACCATCTACAAAAAACATTTCTTGTAGAATGAGTCCTTTGAAATGATAAAGCCTTTTCCTTTGTGAAATCCCCCTACCCCGGGATTAAAATAATGGTGCTAAAAGCCTGAAAAGCAATATTGAACAAATCATTCTATTAAAGATACATTTTAGCAGTCTGTTTCATAGAAACTAAAAGAAGCAATCATGCAGCAGAGCTAATGACTACTTTGAGAAAGTATTCTCACAGCATATTGGAGCAGCTTACAAAATTTGAAAAGGTCTTTTCCTTATTAATACATCCTTATTTTAATGCCTTTGGAACAAAACACTTATATAAAGTTACTATTCAGTAATAAAATTTAAATACATCAGTATAAAATAGTAAAATTATACCTGCATATTGCTCCTACGATAAAGTAGGAACTTATGATACAAATATTGGGAGCCAAAGCTCCTTAATGGGAGCAACTTTGTTTCTGTTAAATATATTTCCTTTAACTACTTAAAACTCATGTATTTAACCACACTAATGAATAGAGATAATTATATGATTTAAAAGTCTAAAGGTATCAGTGGATATGTTTCCAAATTACAGCAAAAGTACATTTTCCATTTTTATATCAGTTTTTCTTACTTTCGGTTATTGGGAATATAAGAATATGTTTTGAAAAGGAATAGCAATTTGACATACAGCATGAATAGCTGTTTTGCTATTAGTTTTTTTTAAATACCTTGAATATTAAGTAAAAGTGGCATAAGCAATATGCTTTTACTTCACTCCTGAGAGTCCTGTTTTAAATCCTTCGCATTGAAAAAAAATCACTAGCCAAATATCCAGGTGTGGTAAGGAAGATTACCAGCAAAGGTCTTGCACAGGGGATAATAGATGTCATGAAATACAACTCAAAAGTGATTAGCTCCAATGTAATTATGGAAAAATATACTTGTGGATTTACATTCATGTTCTAACTTCAAATAGAAATCAACAACATGTGAAACCTTTTGGCAGATTTTGACTCATCTTTTAAATGAGAATAGGAAATGACAGATATTTACAGAATGATGAAACCAAAATATTTATATTTCAAGGTAAGCTCTTAATTTTGTCTCTATTTAGAGTTGCCAATAAGGCATACTTTTTTTTGCCAAATCACACTTCTTTGTAATTGCACTTAAACGAAGAAATACATTTTCATGCCTAATAGTGAAATTATTTAAGAAAAAATAGGTCCTTCAGAGCTTCTTAGAAGTCTACATGTAAAAAGCTGGACAATTTTTCATACTGGTGACAAATGCACTCATAAATCATTGTCTCAGTTGTTTTATACATTTCTTGTGAAAGTGTCGTTTTACTGTTTTGTTCTTTCTTAAAATTATCAGAAGAGCCACATTTAATTACCATAAAAATTATCAAATCACAATGAAGCTTTAAAACAAGAGATCCATAATGTTCTGGAAATATTTTTTCCATACACTTTTTTAAAAATTGTGGATCTATTGGCAGTGAGGATACAGATTGTTTTAACAACCAGAGTAAACAACTGTGAATGAACACATTCAAACTATTTTAAAAGTTAATTTGAATTTTATACTGGCTTAATGAGACTGATACTGTACAAAAATAGATTTACAAATGACATAGTAGGCACTACAGTATTTACTGTCATCTAAGGCATTTCTACACATTTGTCATAAGGCCATTTTCTCATCTTATTGGAACGCTTGATGAAAACGTGGTAGAGTTGTGGTTGTGTTTAGACTGCTAGTGAAAGCTGCAGATAATGAGTGAAGAGATCCAAGACTAATACCATTACCAGGGTCTTGAAGATCTTGTGCCTGTGGAGGAAGCTGAATCATAGATGAGTGTGCCTCCTCTTGTGAGTAACTCATTCCAAGATTTCCCACAGAAACAGAAGGATTAAAAGGAGGTCCATTTACTGGTATAAAATTGAATAACTGAGAGAAGTCCAGTGATGGGGTATTTAGAGGTTCACTTATAGAAACAGAACTTTTCGAAAGAGAAACATCCCCAGATCCATCATCTAGTGGACCTACCTGAGGATCCAACCCTAACTTAGATGATGATGCTTGAGAATCTTGGGATGAAGAAGGCATACCACTTTGCAGTTCCAGTAAGTAACTTTCCATTTCCCCTTTCAATGGCTGGTCTTTCTCAGTCATAGAAACTGTATATGAGGTAGAACTGAGTGGATATTTTAAAGAAAGCTGATGAGAAGGGTGGATTGATTCCATATCTATTGGACAAGGCATTCCTAAAGGTAATGATGTGGCAACCATTTGATGTGCAGATGTTGAACTCTGCATGGACTGAAGTTGTGTGTTGTATAGATTTAATTGTAGAGTGTTTGTAAATGGCTTTGATGTCAGTTCAGTGGAAGATAAAGACATCACAGGAAGCAGCTCGTCCTTTATAGGCACAGAAACATTGCAAGTAAATGGGTCAAGAAGGTCCATTGGCTCTGTTTTGACCTTCAAAAGTTCTTGATTATGACTTTTCTTCATATGCCGTGTTAGATGATCCTTCCGGCCAAATCTCTGTGCACAATACTGACAGAGGAAGTCCTTTCTTCCAGTGTGTACTACCATGTGTCTTCGGACATCCTTTCGGGTATAAAACCGTCGATCACAATGTTCACACTGGTGTTTTTTCTCCTTCACTCCACCTGATGATTTGCCTGCATGAGTTTTTAGGTGCTCCAGCAGCACCCCTGTGCTTTCAAATGTCTGCAAACATACTTTACAGTTGAGATCACCACTTGTTGCAGCATGCAAAGCCAGGTGACGCTTAAATCCAAGCTTCGTATTGTAGTTCTTTCCACATTCTTCACACTTAAAGGCCTCTTTATTGGGATTATGTGTATGTAGGTGATTCTTTAGATGATCTTTTCGATGAAACATTTTCTCACAATAATTACACTTGTGGGTTTTCTCAGGAGAATGAGTAGCCATATGCCTTTAAACACAGATATATTCTGTAAGTATTTATTTTGACCAGAAGTTACATATGCTCATTTTTATGGTACCTAAATACTAAATATTTTTGAAAGAAATTTACATAAGTCATGTCACTACAGACAGTACATATGATACTAAAATGTAGCAACACACATTATAAGCTAATTTATTCAACTGATGCTTTGATGATTTTAAGTTACATTAACATTTTATTATGTAGTATTGTTATAGCCATACCCAAAGTGCTCAGTCCATTCACTCCTTTGTAAACAAGTTTATATAACTTGTTTAAACTTTTCTCTTCAAATACACACACACAAATTCAGATTTGTTTATAATATTAAGCACTGTAGTTTATAATTGTACAATTTGATGTCTAAATTAACATTTCCTCTCAGAAAAATCAGCTGAAGTGTACACAGATATATATTAAATGGCCAACACATAATATAATCTGAAAAATAAATAGAGTTTAATACCTTAGTAATTTGTACTTAGAAACAAAGGCCTTGGTGCAGTCTTGTTGTGTGCACTTGTAGGGCCTCTCTCCTGTGTGAGAGTATGAGTGAACCTTTAATTTCTCAACACTGTTAAAGGCCTTGTCACACAGTTGGCAAGGAAAGTTTTTTCTTGGTTTGGATTCACCACGCTTACGTTTCCCTGAAGGGACTTTCTGGGTATCTCTTACTTCTGACAAATCACCAGGAATGACAGTGGCCATCGCAGCCTAAACCAGGCCTTCTTGTTGGACACTTGGGAACTGCCCAACTCCACTAAATGATTTAGCTTTAGATGGCTTCTCAAGTTTCATGTGGTCGTTAAAGAAAGCAAAAGGGGACTGGAAAAAAAAATAAGAAACAACTATTTGTAACTACACTTAATTTTGAAGTTTACTTGCTATGTGATGCTTTTGAATAAAGCAGATATAAAATTAGGTTCAGCTGGTCTAATGTAATATATGTAGGCGCTTTTTAGACTATTTATTACAGCTCAAAATTCACTGCTCAGGATGGACAGATCCACATGTACTCTGAAGTACCTCATATTGCTTTATAGGTTTTTGAATTAATTTATCTACGTTTTCATGAAATTTTAGCATCAAAATTCAAGTTGACTAATATATACTTCCAAAGGATTGTTGTCTGACTCATAGCATTGTGAAAATGAATGCTATAGGATACAGCAATATGGAAGTAATACTACAGAATAGAAGGAAGATCTGCATGTTTGAAGGGTCTCATGTTTATATTATTATTAATTTTATTTTTACATCTCTTTTCTTCCTACATGGTTTGCAAAGAGAATTTGAATAGTCTTAAATAAAAGCCACATAATAAAAGCAACAATCTGTAAAAAAAAGGAAAAAACCCACAAACTTTATATAAAAATAAAAGCAGAACAGGCAATCCAAATCATTCTTATTATTTGCAAGTCAGAAAAAGTTTAACCAAACTCCTTCTTTAACATCTTATCATTCTGAATATATACTTTTTAAAATATTATGAGAATATTCACAGATGCAGATCATCCAGGTATATTCTGAAGTAATAAACTCCTCAGTTTTTCTATGCAATGTTTTAACATATGAAAATGGCCTAATATTTACTAGCCAATTATTTAAATATCTTATATCCAAGTTACCTAAACCTGAATATTAGTACTATAGGCACTGTGCAATTGCTTTAATTTTTATCACCCTAAGATATATAAGATTAAAATAGGATCACAGATAGCAAGGCCAGAGAAATAGATTGGAATAACTGACAGATAGTTTCAGAAAAGAAAAATAGAAGCATAGAAGATGCCATAATAAGCTGAGTAAGACCTATCTTAGTTAAAGTTTGTTTACAGAATTTGATATATTTTGTACAGTCTTCCTAATTGGCTGATCAATTTTAAAAATGTCTGATATCATAAAACATATACTAAAAATGACAAAACCTGTTTTACTTCCCTGAAAAAGGTAGTTTCTTGTAGAAAACATAAATCAACCTAACACTTTTCTTCCTGATTAACATCAATTGTATTTTAATTTTAAAAAAAAATCTTATTTTTCACATCTGATTTTTTTTCTTTTCCTTGTTTTTCTCTTAAGAATGTATTTTTATCTCTATATTGACATTTATTATTTGCCGAATAAGCCAGCTATTTAGAACAGAAGGCCCATTCTTCACTAAGATGTGTTAAGAGCCAGAAGATAGTCAAGACACTTCCTCTATGTCATGTGGCTTAGTCAAGTCAGGCAAGAAGTTATCAGAGCAACCAAGAAGCAAGTATCCTTCCTACCCTATGGTAGATATGAAGCCTAAGAAACCTAACAAAAAGGGTCGTGTAAATCCTGAGTTGAGGTTAAAAAGAAGTTAAACACCAACCTCCTTATCAGCAACCCACAGCAGTGCTTGCAGAGCATAAAGGCAGCTTTGAAAGAAGGGCAGGTTGGGGTTGAAGAAGGCGGCTGAGGGAAGATGTCAAGAAGTTTGCAAAGAAAGCACCTGATGAATTATCCTTATTAGCTCAGTAAAACTAAACTCTGCCTGCTACCTGGGTCAGCAAATTGCCCAAGCAGAGAAGAAAGTTGATTCCTCAACTTGCAAGTATTTCATCAGAAGAAAGGAAGGGAGCCAGGGACTATACAAGTAAAGAGTTACATATACACCTCCAGTTTAGGCTGTAATGCTTATTAAGACTGTTGGGGCAAGAGCAGTAAATCAAGCCTTGGCCTTCTATTTTCTTTCTTAGTTAGACATTTTATTTTGAATGTTACTTTGAATTTTGATTTGAATTGCTGATGCTCCAACAATCCTGTTTTTGTTTTTAACCCTGTTCCTGAATGTTTGAACAGTTGGGGAGAATAACTTCAGGATATCTACGGTACATCTTTGAATAATCCAGTATTTCCTTTCTGTTAGTTACTAGGGAGTTCCCCAACTTTTATGCCTATTTGGATCTCTACTACAAACATAATATTGAATCCAACTAGAATACATCTGTGAACATAAATTTTAATCAAAGAATGGATTTTTCCTCTTCCTCTCCCTCCTCTTTGACATCTAAATATGTTCTGGAAATTTATGGAACTTTCATTTGCATGAACATGGTGCTACAGGGTAGAGATTAAATATCTATGACTCTTTTTTTGCTGCTCACTGATTTTGCAGTAGACAGTATACCCATGTATACCGATTCACAGGTTTAGATCCTTCAATAAACTTGAATTTAATAAGTTCATAATTCCCACTTGAACAAGGCAAATGGAGTGTTAAGTAAGAGAAAATTATAATCTATCCACTATTGTTCAATAGGGTTTTCAAATATTCAGAGAGATGTCTAGAAGGGAAAAGGTATGGCAGAAATAAAAAAGGCAATATTTTTCCCTATAGTGTCTTAGATTAATTTACTCTGTGATCCAAATGAAGTCTTTGCTGCTACTGCTAAGTAGAAAGTATACAATCATTGTAAAGTCTCTTTTTGTATAAAAACCTTTGTTTAGTAATGTAGAAAGTAATTGCTGTAAATCTTTTTACATATACATGATTTTTAAGGAAAAAAGTTCTAAAGAATGCATATTTTAAAACCCAAAGCTTATAAAAATAGTTGGCACAAAATTATTTTTAGGTGTTCTCACAAATATCCAAATATTCAACACTTTAGCTAAATACATTAAGATACGGATAGATAGTTTTATTTGGTCTTAGGTAGGCAGAAGTACAATACGTTTTAAGTACATGGATACTTCTCACTCTTCAGATTTAGTCTAATTGCAGTTAAAGAGGTTATAGAAATTTTATTTAGCACTTTGCAAATATAACTGATAAATTCTTTATAAATGTGTTTTAATGCTATAGTAAAACTGCAGCTATACAGCAATATGAATTATATTTAACTCAAAAATGTGAGGAAGAATTGGCATCTAAGGAAGAAAAAAAATCAAATCCACAAGAGACTGTTGATTGCTTAAAAACAATTGGCCACCAGAAAAATCTGAAGTCATTCTAAAAACTTAAGTACAGAATGATGGAGTTATTTATTGGTAAAAAAGTTTGATACATAATTTGTATTTATCAAGCACAAATTTGGTCATTTCTTGAACAATTCAGTAGTATAACTTATGCTAAAGAGGGAATTCTGAACATTTCCAATCATAAAAAAGTAACCAATATCTGTCTTAAAGCAATAGAAGGCCTAACTTCTAAGACAACTGAATCTTAATCGAATTAATAATACTGGTATATATGTTGCTCTGTAAATTTCAACATTTAATTAAATTATACTGAATTTTAGAATCTGATTTTTTAAATTATAGTTCTATCTCTAACAATACAATCATAAAAGCGACTTTTAATAAAGCTAGCTTGCTAACTATTCTTATTAATACTAATGCCTATTTAACTAATAAAGTACAACAGATGTGGAACTAATCAGGAAAACACCCTAGATTCTATTATGATCATGATTAAAGAACGCTAAAAAAAACCTATGAGTAAGCAGAGAAAGAAAAACAATAAAATGCAAGAGATTTTTACAGAATTGCATTATGGAGCAGAAAAGAAAGGATAATATCTTATATTGCTCACTATATCCCCATTAGTTAATATTCAACTTCTTAAAAATAAATACATCTTAGGTTGTGATGGCCAACTGAACCCTTGCCCCTCAGATTCTGCATTCCCATTTCCTAAATTAGATATCCCCAAAATAGTTTTCCTGTCCATATTTAATACTGATATTCAAGCCCAGATGTGATAAAATCTTTTTAGAAGATACAACTGAGGGTAATAAATAAAACTCTTTTTTCTTACCATCCCTCCTGTCCTTTATGTTTATATTAGTTGGCTTCAGCTAATGGTTCAGCAGAGTTTTGTGGGAGAAAAGGGGATAGTGATTTTCACCAATCCATTCTTCCCACTGTAGCCCCTGCAAAGGCTTAATAGGGAAGTGACCCTATTGGTTTAAGTCTGCTTTCTTCTCTCCAGTGCACAGCATATACCAACAAATGTTCATTTTCTCAAGAATAACTACAAAAGTTCACATTCATTGCATCTTGGAACTATGCAGTTTAGGTTCCATAATATTAGTATTGTACATAGTAAGAGCCTCAAGTTCAGATGAAAAAGGAAGCATTTTACAGGTAGTCCTCAACTTACTACAATTGAGACTGGAACTTCTGTTGCTAATTGAGGCAGTTGTTAAGTGAGTTGCACCCAATTTTATGACTAGTTTTGCCATAGATATTAAGTGAATCACAACTGTTGTTATGTGAAGCATGGAGTCATTAAGAGAACCCCTCCCCACGACTTTGCTTGGTGGAAACCAACTGAGAAAGTTGCAAATGCTGATCATGTGACCCTGAGATGTTGCAACTTTCATAAATCCGTCAGTTGCCAAGATCCCAAATTTTGATCATGTGACTATAGGTGCACTGTAATGGTTGCAAGTATAAGGACTTATTTTTCAGTATTGTTATTAACTTTGAGTGATTACTAAATGAATGGTAAGTTGAGGACTAGTTGTACTTTAAATATATGAAAATATATGGAAACCAAGTGTTTCAGTTACATCAGTGTTTCTCAACCTTGACAATTTTAAGGCATGTGGACTTCAACTCCCAATGCTGGCTGTGGAATTCTGGGAGTTGAAGTCCACATGCCTTAAAATTGTCAAGGTTGAGAAACACTGAGTTACATGCTTCCGGTAATTCTATCTGCACTGGAGACAAAATCTTGAAACAATTCA